ATGAAGGATGGCGAAGCCGACCCTGCGAGTACCACTCCAGGAGTCGAGGAGCCTGAACCACCTACGCCTGAGCTTGATCCGCAAGACTACAAGGATGGGGAAGGTCGTTCAGTATCCCCGACGAAAACATGGTCGCACTACCCGACATCGAACCCAGATACTGAAGAACGGAAAAGAGCTGCCAAGCGCAGTGGGCAAGGTACAGCAACCGCTTCCAACTGGAAAACCGCCTATGACAACCTCAGAAGGGTCAGAGCACGCGCAGTGAGCCAAAAGGTGTGCTATTGTTGTGGTTCAAACCAACATCACCTGGCTATTTGTCCCAACACTGAGAAGAAGGACGAGTTGATGAACTCATTCTCTCACATGGAGGACACTATGCGTAAGTGCTTCACCGAGGACGACAAGGCAATCATCCGACGTGATGTTGAAAGCCGAAAGAGGAAAGCAAAGTCATCCAAAGACGTCGAAGACGAGGACTACATGGATGTGGATGATGAAGATATTGAACTTCCCGAAGAAGAACCGGAACTAGGAGGTAAGGTACCACCTCACTCTCCGAGAGCCAAAGGTAGACCACACTCGTCAGACTCTGCAAAAGAGGAATACGCGAAAGCGGTCGAGGCAACCAAGAAGGCCTTTGGGAACGCCAGTTTCGTCACCAGATTCAAAGAGCCCGTCGACCTCTTTGACATTGCCGATGACAAAGAAGGAGGAGAGTACAGGGTCGCAAATCACAGGGTTGATAGATCAGGTCCTAATGGAAAGTGGGAACTTGATGCACTTATTCAGGAGGCTGCAGCACTCGGAATAAAGATGCCCAAAGTGAAGGACCTTGCTCCTGACCCACAACAAGTTCAAAAGGTTGGATATCGGCAGATTGAGGTGACTTGCGATAGAGGAAGCATCGAGATAATTCCACAGTATGGAGTTACATTCTATGTGGAGTACTGGAATGGACCGAAGAGAGATGCAACTTTCACGGATCCACCAAAGATGAACCCAGCAACTCGCATCGACAAGTTCAGCGAGGAGAGTCAGCGGGTCAACGAGGTTAGCCATAGACTCAATAGACTACTCAGGCATGGAGTGGGAAAGCATAATGGGATTCAATCGCACCGCGGTCGAAAACCTCATGTGTCCCCGAAGTGCAATGAGGGTGGATGGGTGAACATCGATGAGATCCTGGAATATGACCATGTCTTCAACGATGGTGTCGATATCAGTACTATCTCAGATGATCAACGTGAGCAAGATGTCAAGACAGAGCGATACCAGTATTTATGCAAGGCGATGTGGCATGCAAAGAAGTTGCAGAACAGAGTACGCTATCAGATTGCCGCCATTCGTATCTCAAGGGAGGATGTCTCACTCGAAGAGGAAAGGCAATACTGGGCAAACCTCATGTATTACAGCACAGATGCACCGTCATTTCTGAAGCATGAACGTTGGATCGTTCCTTGTGCAATTCGAGCTGTTGCCTCTCACAATTCTGGAAGAGAGACTGTTCTTGAAGAGGATGTGTCAATATACCCTGTGTGGACTTCACATCTCATTCCAGAGAATGTGGCAATGCAGCTTGGAGGAAGCTTTCACATGACATCGCTTTCCAATATTGAGTCAATCATGAAACTAGGAATTGTCCCTGGTGGAACGGAGGGATATAGAGGTAGTGTTTTCTTCAACCACTTTGCGCCGTGGGATGATCGATCATCAAAGATTCTGAGATCAAGATGGCCAAGAGTGGGAATGCCCGTTTGCCTTTATGTTCCAATCATGACTTTGAGGAAGCTTGGGGGAAGAATTTCGGAGAATTCCTACACTGTTGTTTTTAGAGAAGTTCCATGGAGATGTGTACGAGGTGCTTGGTATTGGGACGACTACGTTCAGGCATGGAGGAGACTCCTGCTGGGAAGCACTGGAGAGCAAGTTGTTCTAGCGGCACGTCATGGACTTTGGGTCGCTCAGAAGCATACCATCCTCGAGAGAGCCGACGAAGTCACGAAGTCAGCCTCGGCGACAGATGACAACGTCCAAAAGCTCGTGTCCCTTATCGATGAAGTACAATTCGATGACAATGGAGAGCTGATCGAGGATTCCATCAGTGAGGAAACTTGGGACGAAATCATCTCCAGAACATGTGAAGGGTATCGCAACGTGGATGGCAATATTTTGTGTCCATCATGTATGCATTTGACTTCTTCATCTTTGTCCGTGTGTCTATCTTGTCAAGGCAGGCTACTCTCGTGTGGTATTCGCAACACTGTCATTTCCGATTCACCCGTTGATCTTGTGAGCGACGATGAAGAGGAAAAGAAGGAAGAGAAGGAGCCTGAAGATGATGATCAAGATATCTTGGACCAGGCCACTATGGACGAGATCAGAAAGGCTTGGGAAGAAGACATCGCTCAAACTGAAGCAGCTGACGACGACGAGGACATGGCCAATCTAGATCCTTCCAAACCGTCTGATGGTGCAGAAAACTTCAAGGGTGACAATGTCGAGACCCCATCTTTCAATGAGGACGAGATCGACTACGGTCGTGATTCTGATCTAGAAGATGAAGACGAACGAAACGTGATCATCGAGATCCAGAGGAGCACACAACAATATGAGGGGAAGAAACGTCAAGATGGTGAGCCCGAGGATGAAGACGTCACCGACGACTTACATCCGGAGGCGAATCGACCGACAGATCGTGATGAACCGGGATACTATGCACAGCATGGAGCGACCGAGTTCAATCCCGAAGAAGGAAGAGACAACGAAGATCTCCCCATCTATTGTCGAGTACCGGAACCTCGAATCTATGCGCATCAAGAGAGAGCCTACTGTCAGGACGTCTCCATGAATGCATCGGGTTTGATGGATAGGTATGTGGTCAAATGTGTGCTGAACATGATCTCCCTGATGTACAAGAGCTACTATTGCACCAGCCTTACCGACTTCAAAGCAAATTGGAAAAGGAAGCGTCTGGATGTGATAAGCAAGTTCGGTACAGAGGATTTCACTGAAATCGATGACGATGGGAGACCATTGGATCCAACAGATGACATGATGAGAATCTTTGCCAACGAAAACAAGATTACGATTGAGGAGGCCTGGCACCGATTCAGAGGAGAGCAATTCATTTGCAAGGTGGCACTCGTGATCCTATCATTTGGTCATACTCCGTACTCCTTCAAGAAGGAATATGGCAACTTCGAATACTCCACCAACTTGACTGACGTCCAGCTTGAGGAGTTGAAAGCGAAGAAAGCCAGCGCAATGACTGAATTGGTACAGAAGTGCATCCATGCGATTTATGGTTGTCGGACATATTCTTACTTTAGAACCGACGTTATATCACCCAACCACAAGGTGATCGATCCTCTGGACATCATGTACTCGAGAATGAAGAGCAAATGGGAGAAGTCTATTCTGCTGATCATTGATCAACATGAGATCAGGTTGCCCCCACACGCTCAGAATGTCGTAGAGTCAATGGCCAGAAATCCCAACATTGGACATACAGAGAGATGGATGAGCGTGGTAGAACAGAAGCATGTTCAAGCTCTTACCGATCGTCTAGGCTTTGGAGATAGGGCCAAGGAGATTCAGGGCAAGAAGAAGCAGGCAGCCAAGGCAACAGCTAAGTCAACATCAACGACTAAGTCTGAAGCGAAAGCAGCATCTTCGTCAAGAGCTGAGGCAAAGCCAGCATCTACATCCAGAACCGAGGCCAAGCCGTCGTCAGCACCAAGTGAGGAGCCAAAACCTTCAACAGCACCTAAGAGTTTCGGGCCCTCATCAGCAGAGGAGAGCAAGGCGAAGGCTGCTCCAAAAGCCAGACCACATGATAAATCACCATCCAGTGCTACCGATGTGTTTGAGCAAGCTTTGCAGGAAGATCTTGCCGCCAACGCACATGCAGCAGAAGGTACAACTTCTTCATCATCCCGAGGACATTCCAAAGGAGGAGGCCAATCTGGAACATCTTGGAGGCCGGCGCTAACGCAAGAACGTCGCGAAGTACCTCAACCTTCTGAAAAGGGGAAGGGAAAGAGCAAGTCCAAGGGAAAGTCCAAGAAGGGAGAAGATGATCGGCGGGATGCTCAGGGCAGCTGGGATCATCGTGGATGGAGAGGTTATCGCCAGTGGTGAATTCTTTGAACGACTATGAGGATACCATGCAAACCAGGGAGGAAGTCATTCACCGGATGTCTATCTGATCTGAAACGCTGTAAGTGTATCATTGCAAATCATCGGATTGACGATTTGATACCATGAGCATAATGGAAGGCAGACAGTCACCGACTGTCTCTCCGACTTGCCGTTCTGTAAGTGTATCCAAACCAAAACCTACATCTTTTGAGAAGTGTGAAGTCAGTTGCCGATGTGACATCTACGTGGAAGTCACCAGTTCGGATCTACATCAAAGCGATGCTCCTTTGAGTGGATACTGAGCGAGGCCTCGTGACTGTCTCACTTGTTCAATTCGATTTTCATAGGTTCTGAGCCATAGTTGCACACTTTATATGTAAAAGTCCGCTTTAGTCCAGCATGTTTCGTAGTATGAGCCTCATATGAGTCTCGCGGCAAATCATACAATTTCTTTTGTAGCACTTACATCCCTAAATTTTCGTGTGTGATCGGAACATATTGTTGCCGTTCACATGGGGGGTGCGAATGGAAGTGCAGCGACACGTACAGTGCAACTTGTACATATATATGTACCATATGTACTTTGGCTCAAGGATCAAGCGACTAGAAAAGGTGCGGTTTCCGTTCCGACGCTACGCCGCTTATGGATCGTCAGTGATAGCTTCAAACTTCGCTGATTAAGATCCACTCGCAATATATATATAATACCTAATATGTGTTATATTATCGATATATCACCACACCACCAGAATAGGTGATGCGAGGTCAGACCACCAACAAGGCTTAATAGCAAGAAGACTTCAACTACTTGTTTTTCTGTTTCTCCTGGTTTTCACGATCGGCCCTCCGTCCCTCAGGCAAGACGTTGGCGTTTTTGTTGCCGGCCTTGGTGCACATCATGGCCCAGCCCCACGTTCAAGAAGGAGAAGGCAAGGTTGAAAACGGGTGCTGAAACCGGTTGTCTTCCGCGTGTGGGGTCGGAGGGAAGAAGCGAGTTCTAAACGCCAGAAGGTGTCAATCCAAAGAAATACGTGGCGTTTCGTTCATTTCAGGGGCCTCTTTGCAGCAAGCGAGACAATGCCGGTTCCACCTGGTTCTAACCGTCCGCAGGACCCATTGTGCTGATCCTGGAGCCCACGCGTGAGCTGGCGGTGCAAACCTACAAGGTGGCCCAGCAGTGACCTGGCATCTTCAACGAGGAGTTTTGTGGTCTTTGTAAAAAAGAACCTCTCCAGGCATTCATATTTCATTTGCAGTTTTTTTAAAATGACCTTAAGTTCTATAACACACTGACAAGATGTATTTTTCTGGTTCACCTTGGTCTCTACGTCTCCCACCTTCACCTGGCTCGCCTCCAGGTTCTGCACGCGCACCTCCGGCGAGGACCTGATCCGCGCAGGGCTCTGCTTCGGCGGCGTGGCGGCGCAGCAGCAGACGCCGCTGGTCGAGGCGCCGGACTTCGGGCGGTGGCCCGAGATCCTGGTGGCTACGCCGGGGAGGCTCTTGGAATTGAGACGTGGATGAAGGAATTTCTCGGTTTATTTTTTTCCCGGAAAGGACCAGGGTTTTGCTGGGTTTATATAAGTAGGTTGCAGGTGCGTGGAATGGTGGTTTTCGGGAGATAGAAGGGATGCCAGGATCAAGGTAAGTGATCTGAGATTTTGGGCTGTGGGGAAGCGCTAGTTGGTGACACCACCCTGTTGTGACAAGGGGTGTAGGGTAGGAGAAATCTGTAAAAGTGTTTGATTTTTAAGTTTGCTTTGCCACGGATAGCGTTTCGCTGAGCCCATCCCAATATTGACGGCATGGGAATCAGGCATTTGCACCACCAAGACCTGGGGAGGCATTGCCCCACTCCTGACCTCAGGATCAGCGTGAAGAAATGGATCAGCGCCAAGCGGATGAGCTACGTGGTTCTGGATGAGGCGGATCACATGCTCTTGACGGGCAATTGGCTCCTTGCCCTATAGGCTATCGCCGTCTCGTCTTGAGTCCTCCCCTTTTGACCATCGTTTTTTTTCCATGGTGTCGGGCGTTGAATTGAAAGATGACTTTAGGTGCGTCTGATGATCTGATGTGCCAATGCTCACTCCAGCTCTGTCTTGGTCAAGGAATTCGATTGGGAGAAGTTGGCTTCACTTGGGTTCTAGAAGTGTTCTAGAGGTCAAGAGGAAAGAGATACTTCATCTAGAGATCTCTAGAACTCCAAAGAAATGGAAAGCCACTAGTGGCGTCAACAGCATCATTGCACTCTGCTTGGACCACTGACATCGAACCGAAACACCTCGAGGTGTCGTCTGACTGGGCTAAAGTCTGTCCTCTGGTCGATGGTCCGCGACCAACGACCCCACCCAATGTGCCTCTCCTTTACATTCTCAAAAAAGGCTGGGTTCTTTTTTCAGAAAGCGAAAGAACCACACCATGAAACATCATTAGACATGCTTCTGTTTTCTCGCACCCGACTCCACCACCAGCCTTTCCGTGGGCGTGCCGTGCCGGTCCACGGTGTAGACACACGCACCTCCCGAGGCTCGTCCACATCAAGCAGCTGCTGTATCTCATGCGCCCCGACCGGCAGCTCTTGCTCCTCAGCGCCACCTGGCCTTTGGACGCCGACCGCGTGGCCTCCGACCTGTGCCCCGGTCGGAGGAGTGAAAGACTCGTACGACACGGGGGTGAAGGTCGAGTGGAGTACACTTGGGGTTTGGGGTTTGGGGCGCGAAAGAGGAGAGGTTCACCTTTCCTGCTTTAGGTGGAGCGTTTCTTTTTTTTGCATGTATGCTTTTGGTGGAGGGACGGGGGGGGCGATGAGGGGCCAGCGGCGCCAATCGGCCCACCTGCCCTTGATCAATCATCCTTTGATTTCCTTCCTTCAGATAGGCTACAGCGCGCGTGCACATTTCTTACACCTGTGAACACAAAAGGTGCTTTGGTTTTCCAAGTAGTGTGTGTTTTTTGGTCCATCGACCTGAGTCAGAGGACTTTGACACGCATGCTGCGGCTCATCCCTGCCTCATCAATGCCCAGGAGACTCAGAATGAACATGTGAAGACCACTTGAAGATCCAACACCCTTTGCATGTCTCCCCGCACCTGAACCATGGCACTTCTTAAGCTCTTCGTGCGACAGGGGGCCCACGGTGCCCCTGTCGTGTGTGGACTCAGGTGTGGAGAGGAGTTGATCAAGATCCGGGTGAACCCTGTGGTGCCCAACATCCCCCAAGAAGTGAAGCTCTTCCCTGGCCAGTTCGATGGATCCTTGGCTGGGAACATGGGGAAACACGGTTACGAAACGCGCGGAGGCGCAGCGGGGGTACGGTAGAGTTTCTGACTGTGAAGACACGCAGTTTTCTTCCCGCTGAAAAATCTCAGCCGAAGTCTGCGTACTTTGAGGTTCATTGTCATAGTCATTTCAGTGTACATGATCCTGACTGCTGCTTCCACCAGTCCTTGATCAAATCTCCAGGTGTTTCAGAAAACAAAGACGCTCCCCCAGATGGCGCCAGGCGGCTACAACAAGAAGATGGCAGAGCTGGTGCGCTGGATCCAGGTGACACCGACGGTCGGACGGTGGATCGAACTCATCGGATCGCCCCAAAGAGAGGCACCCTGGATGCCCCGAACGGAACACCCGTCAGTTCTTTGGAGGGGGGTCGATTCCGATGTTCGATACGCCGCGTGGATCGCCGACTTGATAAGGGCGTCCGGAGTGGGATCGACGCATTGGCGGGACCGGTGTGTGGACGTGTCGGATCTCGGACACTGTGCCGTTGTTTTGGGAGTCTAGTCTAGTCCGGCGCCGCAGGCAGGTGCTATGCTGGACCCTACGAAAAGGGGTCCAGTGGAACATAGTGGAACAATCCAACCATGATCCTCACCAGGTGCATATTTTCGGCCATGGAGACCAGACTTCGCGAGAGAGTGCGTGGTTCTGTAGGAGAGTAGGTCTTTCACGCGGAGAAAAGGTGACGTGGTGGAGAGAGAGGCATCATGAGCGCAATGAGAAACCAGAGAAATGGTGCACTGACTGCAGGAAATTCATGCTTGCGAACACCTGCCATGAAATCTGACCCTGTCAAGCTGCCACTCGGGGCATCAAATAGATCCTTTCAACTTCTTAACGGCGCAACATCTCACATCCTCCAAATGCCAGACGAGTTGCAATTGGATCCACTTTCGATTCAATGATACATCTGCGACAAATGACTTTCAGGAGAAAGTGCACACTCTGACATTGGTTTACAGTTATGCAATTCCCAGGTGGAAGGAAGGTAGAGAACCGCATGGCGAAAGGTCCAAGAAATTGTAGGTGTTTGAACAAAAGTTGTTTCTCGTGTCTGCAGAACTCAGCGGTGGCGAAACGAGCGGCGCGGTGCAGCTGCAGAAACCAAGGTTTTGGGGGTGGTAGCATGAAGAACCATGGAATCAAACAGAGCAAATTAGACAGCGTGGTCAAAATTTCAGGTTGCAGGCACGTCGAAAGAGCGTCCTCTTTCGATATCCTAGTCTAAACCTGGAGCTTCGGTGGCTCACGCCAGGAACAGACCCGTGAGCAAGTGAGGTTCGAAAAGCGACCGTGAGGTGGAAAACCCTTAGGCACAGGTTTTGACACACACACACACGTGGCCGTCGTCGGCGCACGTGTGATTTTTCCGCAAAAAGCGCTCGCACTCTTTGGCATTGTGTCCCTTTAGGACATACAATCTTATAAGCTCTTCGGCTGCAGCAGCTGCTAAGTCCTGACATGAACGCTTGTCCGATCTCAAAGTGGTCATAGTGGAATGCGTGAAACTGTACATGCTTGAACGTGAAAACAAGCTGCAAAAACGTGGAAGTGAATTCGATCAATTCAAGTGGAAATTCCGTGATGCCCGGCGGCGTAGTGGCAGTTATATAATTCAGTAGTGAAGCCAAGTCGGTTAGGAGAAACCAACGAACGGTGGAAACGAAAGAAGCTGTTAGTGAAAGTCCGGCATGAATTCAGTGCCCCAGTGACCGGGATCACACTCAGCACCCAAGTGGGACGACTGAGCGAGTCACACTCTGACATTGGTTTGCAGTTATGCAATTCCCAGGTGGAAGGAAGGTGAGAGAACCGCATGGCGAAAGGTCCAAGAAATTGTAGGTGTTTGAACAAAAGTTGTTTCTCGTGTCTGCAGAACTCAGCGGTGGCGAAACGAGCGGCGCGGTGCAGCTGCAGAAACCAAGGTTTTGGGGGTGGTAGCATGAAGAACCATGGAATCAAACAGAGCAAATTAGATAGCGTGGTCAAAAGTTCAGGTTGCAGGTACGTCGAAAGAGCGTCCTCTTTCGATATCCTAGTCTGAATCTGGAGCTTCGTTGGCTCACGCCAGGAACAAACCCGTGAGCCCCCTGCTGAAAATGAAATTCGAAAAGCAACCGTGAGGTGGAAACCCTTAGGCACAGGGGTTGACACACACACACACACCCACGCACGCACACGTACATACAGACACACACACACACACACTCACACCACGCCCTGCAAAAAAAAACCGTGCCCAGTGCCCAAACATCAAGTTGACCATATCAAGCCCGTTGCAAGGCCCGGAAAGGCAGATTGGACAGACATTTCATTTGAGCCGGCCCAGACGAAAACCTTGGGGGCGGATGACTGGCGCAGTGATTTGGGAGTATGTGAGTTCAGGCATCGTGGTGAGCGAAAGAACCCGCTCAGAGAAGACCACTTGAGAGGTATCCCACCTGCGAAGCATGTTTAAACGCAGCAAAGGCGCTTATTTCGGTACACTGAGAGCAGATGTGGAGACCACAGTGAGAGGGATGATTGGAGCAGACTTATCAAAAACTTCTTGGCAGCAAGAGCACAGGAGCACATGTGAATTGCACCTGCCATCGCCAACCGTCTGAATTCGGGGTGCCGTTTCAGACGTTTTTTTTAAACTTTTCTGTGTGAGTGGAACAGCGATATGTCAAGGATCGGTGCTTCCAAAGTGCTGTGTGCTGACTGAAATGACCACGCAAGCAGGATGAGTAGTTCAGTGCCAAGAAGAACAAGAAGAGTGAAAGATAGTGAAGAGGCATATAAGTAGGGCTGGAAGGTCCACAAAGAGTTGGCATTTATTTTGCCTTGCAAGAAAACAAATCGGACTTTTGATGTGTAGTAAATCAACCAACTATGGTATTCTGTTTCAAGGCCATGTCCTCACCAGGGTTGGTCACAGGACTGTCATCCACAAAAGTCAAAGCGGACAGGACCGATCAGAGCGGAGTTCCTACGATGATCCAAAGCTTGTTAATCAAGATTCTCAAGATACAAGAGAAGAAGAGGAGTTTACTGGCCAGGCCAGTCCGACAAGGAGTTGATTTGCCCAAGTTGGTAGGCAGAACTCGGTGCGAACATGTTCGGTCCCTCTACTGCGCACGCAAAGTGTTTTTGTTTTTTTCTTCATGGAATCATGATAAAAACTGTTCAGGGTAGAGTCCACTGCGCAGGGAGTTTTCGCCCAACCTCTGCGCTTGTGCGCCGTCCCTTGTCATAATGAGGGAGAGCCGGGATCCTGTAGACCTGATATGGCTGAGTGGTTGTTGGTCTGACGGTGCCGGGAGGGAAAAGCACGTTTTCCGAGGTTTGGTTGTGGCGGGCATGGTTGACAGGAGCCACGACGATGATGATCTGGCTGGGGAAGAAGAGTGGCACATGAAAGAGTATGTAGGATTTGACCATCACGGATACTCATCATTCATATGTGGACGTGTATGATACAAGTTCGTTGCGCCAGGCATATGAAGCGGATCTACTAGTAGTCTTGGAGAAAGCAAGACAACTTTAGGAGATCTAGACATGCGCAGCCGGGGTTGCTGGAATGAGATCGGAATGAGAAGTTGAGGTCGCAGATTCAAGCAGGTGTGAACCTGCTGCGCGAAATACAGTAGGATGATCATCGATTTGATTTCAGACACGAGCTGAGACGTTGGAATCTTGATGTTTTGTACCAAGAAAGACCAATGGATGAGTGCGCCATGCAAAATTATGAACATTGAAGTGGGCCATTCAGCGCACTTCCTACATCTACATGACGTGACCCAAAATCAGCGCAATTAAAGTTCTTTTTGTATTCATGTTGGCCAAGAACGCTTGTGGGAAGGTGCACTGCCTCTAAGGAGGCCGTGCATTCTTGAAGCAGCGCCTGAAAGCTAAGGGCTCATCAAGAGACACCACACAACATTGACATATCACAGAACCAGTGACTGGCACTCACCGAGAGTGACTAGGTGTGGTGAATGAAACCCATCGAATTGGTGTCGCTTCGCCTGATCATCAATCGTCGGTCCGCGCAACACACGGTTCGCCCATGTCGAAGTCCATCGAACGATCCATCCGGACACCAACATGCATGATGTCGCATGATGCATGATGCAGAGGCCAGCTAAACAGTTCTGAAACAAACCTTGAGTCGCAGAGTCTAGACAAGACAATTTTCCTCATCTCTTTCAACCTCCCTCCCAGAATCACCTCACTCTTCCGTCGCAGGAGGAGATGGAGCCGAGTGAGTCGCTCTTGGTCTTCTGCCACCACTACCGCTTGCCGCCCCAGATCGCCCATCACCCGCCGGTCTTAGAGGCGCTGAGCAAGCACGTGCCAAACTCACACTGGCACGATCGAGTGGCGGTGCTGGACCATGCGCAGAAGCACGAGGAGCAGCAGGCCGAGTGGAATGAGTGGGGTGATGACCGTTGGGAGTGGAGTGATGGTTGTTTGCGGGTAGGTTTGAAGGGATTTGAGAGGGCGTCTACAAGTCGATGAACCTTTGGAGTCTTGGATGGCTGGGTGGATGACTTATGACTTATGCGGGCAGGTGGCCGAATGCAGTTGTGTCCAGTACTTCCGAACCCAAGTGTGTCGGTTTAAAGTTAAACCCTTGGCAGGATTTTCCGGTGCAAAAGTGCTGTGGTCAGGTGGTTTAAGGAGTTTGCCCTATCTATTTGGCACTTTGGCCTACTTCTGTCGTGATCTGCTGAGCCGTGCTTAGTCTCTTTCTGTCAAGAGACGTGCTTAGTCTCCATGTACAAAGCCGTCGTGATTGCTGGCCAAGGCGCAGTACATGAACTTCTTGCAGGGCAAGGTCAAGATGTTGATCTCGACCTTCTCCTTGGCCGGCCGAGGCTTGGACTTCCATGATCCAGCCCCTTGGCCCGGGGTGATGGGTGGATTCCGATCGCAAAAAGCAGTTCTTGGTGGGGTGATGGTGCACAGAGATTTTCATCCTAGATCATTTGAGAATACATGATCATACTAGCCGTAGATTCTCATCACCTTTGCAGCTTGACAAGTACGTGACGCCCGAACTTGCTGCATGGCCGGCGGGAAAGGACTCCATGCCCCTCTCTCTGGCGGTGATCCTCTTCGACTTCCCCAGCAGCATCGGAGAATATGCCAACTGCATCGGCCGCACGAGCCGCCCTGGGCAGCGGGGCGGCCGGGTCTATGCCTTTTTGCCCGAGGGGCGGTTCTGGATTGCAGGTGGGGAGCAAGGGGCTTGGCCGAGTCTAGAGGTGGAGTAGGTGGTGCCAAAAGCGAGTAAAGCGAAGGCGAGATGTTCAAGGAGACAGGAGAGAGTTAGAGTGAAAGAGTGAAGGAGCTAACCAGCAACCTTCAGCTTCAGCAGCTTCATCGAGATAGGAGACGCTAGTGACGAGTTGGAGCTAACTGCTCCCCAAATCACCTGCATTTTGACCCCCAAACCAGGGGCATCCCCAATTCAAGACAACCTGCATTGATTTTCGCATGTCCAACCTTGTCCGGCATTTTGCCTAGACTTTGCTTCCTTTTTTGGGGCGCCATTTCACCACTTCCTGCCCACACCCCCAAAATTTTGGCTTCGCTGGTGGTGCAGGTGAATTAATTGCTTTGCTGGAGCATTGTGGACAGAAGGTTCCAGATGCTTTGGCTGAGCAACATGCACAAGATCAGAAGTTTTTGTCAGATGTGAAAGCAGGACTGGCCAATGGGCTATACAAATTGTAAGGGCTCCGCCCGGGTGCCGCCGACCCCTTTTCATCTCGAGGGTTTGGCGGTTGAACCTTGACAACTTCCTGGGATTCAACAGAAGAGGTTGCAGAGGTCAGTTCCAGAGGTGGCAGGTTCCAGAGGTCAGTTCTAAGGCTGCACGGTGCCAGAGGCTCCCTCCCCAGGCTCCCGCCTGACGCAGGCAAGGCTGCGATGCAGGAGTAGGCCAAAGGCGCTGGGAAGGGTTTGAAGCCGGGCCAAAATGCCTAACGTCGCTGTCGGAAGCCCATAGGAAGAGAAGAGGCAGGCCTGCCAGCTGCCGAGAAGAGTTTGAGGGCGGTCCAAAATGCGCCGAATCTCGCTTTCGGAAGCCCACAAGAAGAGAAGCCGCAGGCCGAGAAGACCAGCTGCCGAGAAGAGTTTGAGGGTTTGAGGGCTGCCGAGGTGGGGGTTCCAGAGGCTCAGTTCTAAGGCTGCAGTGCACGGGCTGCATGTTCCAGAGGCTCTCTCCCCAGGCTCCCGCCTGACGCAGGCAAGGCTGCGATGCAGGAGTAGGCCAAAGGCGCTGGGAAGGGTTTGAAGCCGGGCCAAAATGCCTAACGTTGCTGTCGGAAGCCCATAAGAAGAGAAGAGGCACGCCTGCCAGCTGCCGAGAAGAGGGCAAGGCTGCGGTGTAGGCCAAAGGCGCTGGGGAGCGTTTGAAGCCGGGCCAAAATGCCTAACGTCGCTATCGGAAGCCCATAAGAAGAGAAGAGGCAGGCCTGCCAGCTGCCGAGAAGAGGGCAAGGCTGCGGTGAGGCTCTGGGGAGCGTTTGAAGCCGGACCAAAATGCCTAACGTCGCTTTCGGAAGCCCAGAAGAAGAGAAGAGGCAGGCCTGCCAGCTGCCGAGAAGAGGGCAAGGCTGCGGTGAGGCTGCGATGCAGGAGTAGGCCAAAGGCGCTGGGGAGCGTTTGAAGCCGGGCCAAAATGCCGAACGTCGCTTTCGGAAGCCCATAAGAAGAAGAGGCAGGCCTGCCAGCTGCCGAGAAGAGGGCAAGGCTGCGGTGAGGCTCTGGGGAGCGTTTGAAGCCGGGCCGAAATGCCTAACGTTGCCTTCGGAAGCCCATAAGAAGAGAGGAGGCAGGCTTCGGACAGGCCACAGAGAGGCCGCAAGAGGCCTGCCGGCTGCCGAGAGGCTTTTGAAGCCGGTCCAAAATGCCTAACGTTGCCTTAAGATGAGAGGAGGCAGGCTTCGGACAGGCCACAGAGAGGCCGCAAGAGGCCTGCCGGCTGCCGAGAGGCTTTTGAAGCCGGTCCAAA